ATTTTTCAATAAAAAAAAATGTATTTTATCATAACTATCTAAATTGCCCTTAATCCCTCTTTTAAATTTTCAGACATACCCCTTCCTCTTGTTAGAACATTCCCTCAACAAGCAAACATTGAAACATAGGCCAATTAAAATTACTGAAAGGAGCACCTAGCGGACTTTGTGGCCTTGAAGAGAAGATAACTTCCAAAGGAGGAGATTGGGTTCAGGTAAGTAACCCCATCAATCTCAAACCCGAATCACACAATAACCCCTACGCATGATCTTCTTTTAATTTTTCAGATCTAAACAGATACCCGAACCTTAATGCATGTTAATGGCAATTTGATGCATGCTTAGTATTGTTGGATTTTTAAGGATCAACATATGTAGAATTTAGGATACCAAAATCTAATAAAATAAATACATTGCGTACCTGAATCTCCATAATCAATATATTACTTAAAAATTTTCAAGAATTTTCAAGAATCATCATAATTAGGATCTCATGATAAAACCTACAAGACAAATATAGTTAGTATTGTTGGATTTTTAAGGATCAATATACGAAGAATTTAAGATACCAAGATCTAATAAAATAAATACATTGCGTACCTGAATCTCCATAATCAATATATTACCTAAAAATTTTTAAGGATTTTCAAGAATCATCATAATTAAGGATCTCATAATAAAACCTACAAAACATATATAGTTAGTATTGGAATTTAGGTCTTCCTCTCCCTAATCAACTTATGTATAGTGACAACCAATGGGTCATGTTAGTCCCTAACTCTCCTATTTGTAGAGGTAGGGTTTTCTGAATGAGAAAGGGAACCTAATCTATTATAATAATTTTTTGGGCACCCCTATTAAGTAGCCCACCTTTACTTTTAGGTTCTACACCTGTTCATATCACGCCATATAAAACTGAGATAAAACTTAGGCCCACTTGGATCACATTACTTTATTGAATTTTACCGGTTTTTTCATTTGACTCAATTTTTGAAAACCAAATACAATTAGCGACAGCTCACAAAAAAATTTCCAACAAGTATTACTCCATGATTTTTGGCGTGAATGACCTCCATTGAGCCATTTTTCAATCCAGCCCCCTTCGCATTCCAAGTCTCCAGAATTGACGTTTCTAGGATATCGACATATTCAGAGCCACTCTTTTACTATGTGATACTTAGATGAGGAAAGACCAGTTCGTTTTTTTCATTTACTTTCTTTCCTTCATTTCTTTTCCAGTTTACGTTTTCCACAAGTTATTAGACTTTCAATTTGTTGTGGGGTTACCATTGCATCCCCTAAATTTCGTTCATAGGCTAACCGTTGTTATCATCACATGCCTGGCAGTGACCCTAGCAGCATCTTGATTCTTGACTCCAATACGAGGAAGTCAAGAACAACCATTTTTAATAAAAGTTTTTTCTTAATATCAAGGGGGAGAGAATTTAAATTTATCTCTTCAAGTATAAATATAAGAAAATGATTTGTTAACAATATTTATTATCAACAAAATCTTATAACAAGACATGACCTAATTTTTATTAACTTTTTTCACTCAAGTAAAATACATATGAATTCATATGCTTGTACACATTTGATATTATGTGGATAGTATGAGAATTGTTGTCAATAAATATTATCAACAAATCATTGTGGATAAAAATATGCCCATTATTTTTTTTTTTTTGAAAAGCCAAAAATATGCACAAGTTGAAGTTACCCTATACCTTTCCAAGTGATTGTGTTGTCAAAGAGAAATTTGCTATATATATATATGTATGTTACTAACTTGAATGCGTCAAGAGTCATTAATGGCTGGTGCCACCATCAGTGCATCACTCAAAGAGATTCTGTAATGAACTGTTGCCTACCTATAGGTTGATCAAAATTTCCAAATCAGTCTTCCTTCAGAAGGTAACCTATATGAAGTAATGACCTTAAGTCTAATCTAAAATTACATTTCTATCACTAGATTTTTTCTTGAGTTGCATCATAAAAGATAACACTACAGCTATCCGCTTGGTGCATCAGGATTCTGGAACTCCTCATTGCCAAAGGACCGTTTTAGCAAAGAGGTAAAGGCTCACAATTGAATTATCTTCAATGTAGCCAAAACAACAAGATTGACAAAGAATGATCTAAAGTAGCTGTTTTCACTTTGTTATTGAATCCTTTACTTGCTGAATAAGAATACACGCAAAAACATGAATACATTTTTTATGTTGAAGAGGTTGCCAGACATCACAATCCCACAAAAATTGTTGTTATCCAAGAAATTAATTTACCAGTTTAAGTAATCCCCACAAGAACATACGCCAAATGATGAATGCAGGTAGAATCTCATAAAACAATCTCATGCGCAACAAGCTTTGCTATTAGTTTTCTTTTTTTAACTTGGAACTTCGCTATTAGTTTAAAGGCATTATGGCATTATCCTCATACAGGAAGATTTCTCATTACCGTTGGTGGACTAATTAATCAACCCAAATGTAATAGCAAGCCTCTCACTATGATATGACAACATCTCTTCTAGCTTTTTACTCATTCTC